CGGTTATAACAAAATAGCGGCTACAGCGAAGCGATCTCCTATTTCCTTTTGCACTTCGTTATAACCGAAGTCGGTTATAACGAACAATCGGATATAGCGAAGCGATTTCCGATTCCCGTCGACTTCGTTATAACCGATAGGGTTGGCTCCCATGTAGCGCGTGGCATCCGCTGCAGTCCATCGTAAGTATAAGTGCGTGCAGTTTTCTTTGCAAGTTTATTCTTCCGTCCTGTCCAGCCATCCTCCTCGGGGCTCGTTGTTTCGTCGAGGCATCACAGGCTGTCGAGGATAAAGTGCTAGAAATGCAAAACTTCTCGATTTGAATTTCAAGTGCAACACCACCAACGTGCATGCGCATTTTTTCGTTTTGTCCTCCTTGAGAGGGAGGTACCAACTGGGAACTAGGGATATTTATGTGACGCGTATATAGTGGGGCGAAAACAGACTATTCGTTTTCACGTTGCGATGGACCGCTCTGGGCACTACAAGCCGTCCAGTGCCAAGTCTACCCAATATCGCGCGTGGGCGTCAGGTGACCTCGGGCGCAATGAAACGTGGGGCGTGTGGTCACGTGAGGATTTTGCGACACTGGATTGGCTGGGATGAACTCGTTGCGTCCACTGCACCCCGTCCCAGGGTTGAAGCGGACTGTAGATAAGAGCTTGAGATGGGTGTTTGCGAGGCGTTCTGCCGACTGTGTTTTAAAGCAGGCTTCGAGACATGCTCGACACCCACCGAGTTTGCTCAAGCGGCGCGGAGTGATCTGATTTCACGATTCGCTTTGAGCCTTTGATGCAATTCGCTTTGTTTTTCTGCAGCGTGTCCTCGTCGGTGTTTTGTTGCAATATGGCTTCTTTTTATTAATTTTTTTGCGGCTTTTAGATTGCGGGTGTTAGTCTCACGTAGCTCTGGGGGAGCGAATCTGTCTTGGACGCAACGTCCACGGGTGCATGAGTGAAATATACAGCTTTGATTTAAAAAAAAAGATACGTTTTAGGTCGTTAATCTTTTTTAATGTCTATCCCGAGCGAGAAATAGAAGTATTGTTGTTTTTTTTTTCTTCTCTGGGTGCGGGTGGGCACGGATTTCTTTGAAGCAGAGACGCCCCTGCTCAAACACCGTCCAAAATTAAGGCTTTTTTATTTACTTTTTTTAGTTATCCGGAAAGTATTACGAGCGTGGCCGCAAGACTCCAGAGAAATAAGGTTTCATTTTTATTGTATTATAATGTCATAGGTAATAACATTCGCTGTAACTTAAGGATGGGAAGCCACTGTTTCATTTTGTATTTGTAAAAACAAAAAGAAGGAATTTTAAGTTAGAGTTTCTACCGAGGGCCTCACATTGAATCGCGCCACTAAATATATAACAAACAAACAATGTTGGAACTTAGCTTTTTCGGTAAGAGAAATGGAAAAAAAAGAAATGCTCGGAAGCTCTGAAATAAGGTGCATATACCGGTCTAGTAAGGTGCATAAGGTGAAGCAAGGTGCATATCTTCATAGGGCAAAAAAATTTTGGTACATTGGTTGGGACACGTGTTTTTATTTGAGACGGCGAGACGCAATGGATACCAGCTGAGATAAGCTTACCAGACAATAGGCAAGCGGAGACGCAGGTTACACAAGGTAAGATAAATGTTGGAGATGAGCTAGGCTATATAAGCTTAGAAGGGTAAACGGTTAAGGCCACATTTTACGTTTGAGTGTAGTCAACTGCGTTGGGACCGCTTACCAGGAGATGACGCACTGGCAGACTGGCGCCATCTATCGGGTAGCCCTAAAATCCTTTTGATCTGTTTATTGGAAGCGTGCGGCAAGACAGTGGCGCCACGGTGCGGCTCCTAGCAGAAGCATTTCGCATTGATCACGGCCAGACTGGCATAGATATCCTGTGGAGACCGAACCATAGAGTTAATACAATGTACGCTAGAGGTTCAACTGGCGCTGGTGTCTGTGCGACTACCGTGACGCAAATTGAAGCAGACAACAACCAGTCTACTTCTGCGGTGCTCCTGTGCATTCCTAAGGGAAAAAAAGCGCGCGTATTTTGTCGCTTCGCCAGAAAATAACATGGAGCGCTTTTGTTATTTTAGTCGCACCGAATAGCATGCACCATTATTAACATGGTAAAAGTGCAATTGCTTTAGTTAGCGGATTTTTTCCATCAGTGAAGGATGTTTAAATTTGCTATATTTTAGGCCAAAACCTGTTTTCCATAGCTGGTGTGTAAAAACAAGCGACGATCCTAAGCAAAATAACCATCGAAAGGAATATAGAGTACGTTCAAGGTTCGCCAGAAATCTGGTGACGCTTATATTTTGCTAATATGCCAGTCCTGTCACTATATCAAAAAAGGTTTGGCATTCAAATGTTTGTAAAATGAAGCGAAAACAAACTATAACTACCAACACTTTGTATCTTTACGGTCGGTTAAAACATTCAAAATATAAAGGACAAAGTACGTGGGATATGAAGGGTGCCTCTTTTTGTTATTTATTATGACGGGCAACTTTTATCAGACCCTTGTTCTCAAACAGTCTGAGCCTGCGGGTGATGTTTTCAACGTAAAACAGGCATCTTCGCACAAAGCAGAAAGAATAAAACAGTACTTACTTATTGAAAATCTGACTATATTACATGGCCTTTTATTTAGTTTGATAGTAAATGAACAGGGAGTTACTGATCCAGTGTTACTGCGTGGTTCTCGCCCTATCTCTTGGTTTTCCAGACGTCCTTCTTTCGTTTGGCACCTATGCCCGTCACGCTGAGAAACACCGACATCGTGTTCGTTCTCACATCGTCCGACAGTGCACATAAACGCATGTACGAAGTCGTTATACCACCGCTTTGAGTGCAATTAATTAAAAAAAAACGCCGTAATTGACCAATTATTTTGTCTGCCTGACTGAGAAATCTACGACTAGTACGTACGAATTATTCGAGATATGCGCGCTTATAATCGAGCGCAGGGAGAAGATTGACTCGCTTTTTCCAATAGAAGTGCATTATCGGAAGTCAACTTTCGACTGGGGTCTGTCTGCTTAAATTTGTGATGGCACACTAGCGCCACTTAAACCACTAGCGTTCATTACAATAACCCTATGAACCGAACATCCGTTTTTATTCAACGTCAACTTCCCCGAGCACAGCGCTATACCAAAGCATTTTGGACCACACTCGAAGCTAACGTTTTTTTACACGAGACGAGGAAATTGAGAACACAGACCACTTCCATGCCGCCGGCGAAAACCGCTGCGAAGATATAAACCCCAGTACGCTAACTCCATCTGCCGGCGAGCGAAGAGCAATCTGATACTAAGAGAAGCTAAGCAGACTTCCCACGTGTATTTTATAAATAACTGGCTCTGACGAAAGTTATACCGTAATGATTTCCACACCGTGAGACAGACACACGCTTTGTAGAGGCACATTCCAGCGCAGATAAACAAAACCCATGTCGGTGTGTTAGAGTTCTTCCCGCTTACCCCTCCTCTACACACGATCGAGCCCGAACTCCGAGAAACTGCCACGGGTCGAACGACGGAAGACACATCCGGGGAGAAACGTTGGATTCGGGTAGATTTTCGAACGTCAAGTGCCAAACCTTTACTCCGGAGCGAAATCGAGATACCTGGCCGCTGGAAGGCTCAGACGCTGCCAAGACGCTGCGGGTGCATTAGTAGAGGTCCGAGTGGGTAGCGCTTCACATTAGGGAGTTTTAGCGAGTCGTTTTTCAAGCACACGGTTCCGAAATCACGAACGGTACAGCTGGTCCGTTCTGTGACACCGTACGTCAAATTCGACATACTTTAGCGAATCGTGAAAGGGCCGCGACCGTGTAAACGATGATGATGATCATGCTTAACGGTGGCGCCATCTTCTAGCACACGTGTGAAACATTCTGCAACGTGCAAATCCGTGGCGGCTCGTGTTTCCGGCGTACGACTGATGTAAACAAGACGACCAGCGTAACATTTGCCGGTCGGAATTTTAAGAACTGCAAAGCTAGATCGAGTAAAAAGTGTCCGAACGACTGTAAAGGTATGTGGTGTGTCTCCGTCATCTTGAACTTGAACGATCGTTCACGTTGTGCGCCGTCGAACCAAATCATTTCGTCTGCTCGCGGTCGCCACGGCAGCTAGTCAACCCGCTGATCGCAAAAATTTACTAGCATGCGCCGTTTACAGCATTCACGATCGCTTACCATTGTGAGCAGTCCTCGAAAAGATTTGGTTCAACCTCTCAGATGAAGCAGGCTAACAGGACGGCAAATTTCCTCCCGCTGTCCTAAGCCTAACGCTCGCCTGGGTCGGCGAAGGCGGTCGCCAAACCGACCGCCATCTTTTTTTTACCCGAGTCGTGAACGGTGCTGGCTGCGTTGCGGTGACGACTCCAGCGGCCAGAATGGGAGAAACGAACGAGAAGAGCCTCCCGACTCCCTGAACGACTCGCGCGCGCATGCGCAGTGGCGTCGCGGATGCGTTCGAGGGCGAACCGTTCGTGTGGGAACGACCTGCTAAAACTCCCTAATGACACACAACGCGGACGGTGTCGTTGGTGGCGCAGCAGACCAGCTTCCTACAGGCAGAGCGGCGTGCTTCCTTTAGATGTCGCACGCTCCCAACTCTATAACCAGACCGTAAGTATTTTTGTTTTTAGTAGTTTCGACATATAATCTATGCACTATTTGTCAGGAATGGTTGCTTACAACATTTTCCAAATTATTTCTAACCCTTCGTGAAATAATGTTGAGCGAAACAACTAGGAAACGTTGTTTCCTGGTTGTTTTGTGCACGAACGTTCCTCGTGCGCTCGTGCCCACGAGTGAACAGTTTGCGCAGGAAATGTTCGCCATTAAATTGCGAACGCTCGCCGTGGTTTGAGCGGCTCCCTCTCCTAAACCTAAACTCTCTACTCGTCGTAAACGCATAAACTCTCTACTCAAACGCAAGTCTGTCATCCAGCTTTCTGAGTGACAACAAAGAGAGGGCGACGTACCGGCCAGGTGACCGTTCTCGTAACCGGGGTAGTCGTCGATGCGCCCCTTCTTGCTCATCATTCCGAGAGGGCTGCCGTTGCTGGGACTCAGGGACATCAGCGACGACCGCTTCGGGGGACGGGCTTGGCTGAAATACAACAACAACACAAAGTCCAATGAGTCAGTATTAGTCGTACAACTTGTCTAATGCCGTTTATGCGGCACCCCTGCCGGCGGTTCCCGCGAAATCGCCGACAGAGTCGTTTATTATATTATATGTACATGTAGTTAGCTATTAGCATTTTAAATTAATAAACGTCTAGCTAAGTGGAGCAAGCCACCGCCCTATTGGAAGGGTCCAGTCGTGTCCACCACCTCATCCATTCGTGTTCTAGCTTAGTAATCGACTATCTACATTTTAAAACCTCAATGAATTAGCCCACAACGGTGATGGCATTCTGTAATGAGCTGTCAGATTAGGTACGTTTGTTTAATGCTAACCAAATATGAAAATTTCCCGGTGTCGTGGACTCTCGCACATCATAGAATTCAGCCATGACGTTCTTAAAAAACCCTAGAAAAAAAAAAAACGTATAACCGAAGTCGGGTTTATGGTTAACATTAACCGTGGTCGAAAAACACAAATGTACCAAAAATTACTTCACAAACTTACGGCGTTAAAGCCGTTCACAAATTTGAACTATGAATTAGTTGCGTCATTTTTGGACTTACATGGAGTCCTTGGTTTATTAGTTAAAAATAGCACACGAGCACATAACCACGCGCGGGTACTGCACCAGAAAATAGACTAAGAAGATTAGCAGTACTATTTATAGTTTCTTACGAGTTATAATTTATCTGGCACAAATAGAACGAATGGCTGCGAAGCGAGCAAAAAAATCAGCACCGGCGGATAGGGAGCTTGCATTTTCATCAGTGGTGAAATTTAGCGGCGCGTGATACTTTTTTTAATAAAAACTCGTTTCTGCGGAAAATAGTACTAATATTATCGGCAGCTTCAACGACCGACTCCAACACGGACGGCCGTTCACCGCTAAGAATCGTGTTTGGAACTCCTCTCGAGGGGTGGCGCCACGCGTTAACGAAGCGTCTGTGACAGGTTTGCTCAATCGCGTTTGCCACGTACGTATTTTTGTTTCGATCCTCATAAAAAATACTCATAAATTATTAATCTGACACAAAAGTTAGGTTACTGAAATATCATTTTCAATCTGATTCATATCAGGCCGCGAGACCTTTTGTTAGCAAACTCCACCGATCTCGATTCTCATAGTAAATAGACCTTTTTCACATGGGCGCCGCCATCTTCAAATATCGCCACTTCCAGTATGGGCGAAAACATTGTTTTGCCGTCGCCACTCCAATAGAATACATATAGGGTATAAGCGTAACCATCACCCATTCTTATTTTGTCTCACCTCCATTTGTTTACTTTTTGCAGGTTTACATGTTTTATTACTTTTCGTCGCCAATACAGGCTATGCCTACCTAGTGGTTGGGGACGACAGTAAGCGAAAAAGGTCTCTAGGTTGCCTGCATTACCCAAGCAGCACATAAACGTGAAGAAAACGTCGAAAGAACGTCGAAGACGTCTGTTACGTGACGTCGTAAAACGTCGAAGGTCCGGACGTTACCTTCTTTCGACGTCGATGAAACCTTTAAATGTCCGCGAGAAAAGGTGCACAGAAGGTCGAGGGGACGTTCCAAATGACGTTTGTTGCACGTCACATGCACGTCTCAGTGGGCCGTTGCGTCCTACCTCGACGTTTATGATACGTGTGTATACGACATCCGGACTACCAACGACGTTCACAGGACGTCGAGGAACCTTTCCAAATTACGTTCTCTAGCCGTCGTGGGAAAACGGTGTCCCCCCCCCCCCCCCCCCCCCTCCATATAAAAAGTATTTTTTTAGTATTATTCCGAAGGCAAGTTGCTATCATGCAAGTACGAAGGAAGTAACTAAAACACAGGTTTGGTACGAACTGTTTATTTGAACATGTTCAGACACGAGATACAATACGGAGCGCCTCCAAAAGACGTCCCTGGATGTGCCAGCCTCAAAGATATAAAAGAACAAACAAATTCACGTAAATAAATTAACCAGAGACGATGTCACGGGGCGCGGAATGTTCCAACGCTTACCTCGTTCTGCTTCTGATTAATGCGCTGACGCGCGTGCTTTAGCCGTCCCATTGCGCGTAGCTGGTACTCTCGCTGCGTGCACGGGAATGGTTTCAGAAGGGGGATCCCGTCCGCTGGGCGTTCTTGATTGGGATCGTCGGAGGCGTCTGAAGGGTCTTGATCGGAGACTGGACTTGACGCGCAGTTATGCGCACTGCCACTTGTTTTCTGGGGGGCGTCATTCATATCCTCACAGGCACCTTGATCCGAGCAGTAGTACGATTCAACGTGTGAAGCGTTATGGCCTTGAAAAAGGTCCTCGAGCCGTGACTGAATACGACAGCGTTTTTGGCGATCACCGACTTCTTCATGGGGGCGACTTGAACGACTCATCCAATCGCAGCACTTATACTGTATGCAGACTCGAACAAAAAAAATCACGGCGAGATAGCAGCCTGCCTCGTGGACCCGTAGACGTGACGGCCGGTGCTAGTGACTGGCTTTCGGAAAAAGCTGGACCGGGTCCCAGAGCTGTTCTCTCTGGGCCAATTCGAAGAACAGAACATTCAGTGAAATATTTTGGGAACGACTGGGAAAATAATACGTGCCCCCGGAACTTAGGCTTGTCAATTGTTCGTCGTCGCTATCTTCCCCCACTTTTCACTCTCGCCCTCTTCTTGCCGAGTTTCCCGACGCATCGCATGGGGCTCTATGGAGATGCCATCTCCACTGCCTACCTTTCCCCCTCCCTCTCGCGCCGTGCCGGCTGGTTTTTTTTTTTTTTTTTCTTTCTTTTTTTCTTTCTTTTTTTTTTTTTTTCGGCACGTAAGTGCGGACTGGGCTTGAACGCTTTTTGGACCGTCATCTGGGCCATTCAGGGGTTGGCATCATGAATGTCAATTTCCACAAACCGTTGACAGTATCTACCGGATTTCGTCATTGCCGGGCATTTTATTTATTTATTTTCTTTTTTTCAGTCAACTTCAAAAGTGCGCAAGTGTTCAGTGAAGTTGTGCTCTGTGTTTGGGTACGTCACCAGTGGCAACGAAAGCCAGATCTGTACTGACAGTCACGTGACAAGACTTTGCGCCCCGATCTACCGAAAGCGCTAAGGCGCTGGAAGTTGGTGTTATGACTGAACTGTGATGTTGATGCGAATTTTTTGGTTGTGCGCAGGTGAGCATGGGTTACAAAATACGAAGAGAAATTGACGAACCTTAAAACAATCTCGGGTGGTCGCGGAGCAGTATGGATGCTCCTAGGAAAGGATGCTGGCCTGAAATCACCTGGAGAGGGGATAGTGGAGCGGCGCCCCTGAGGCGCGTGCCAGGGCCCAGGACCCATTGAAGACGACAACGCGCGTGCAAAATGCAAGAATGGTACAATTCGATCCGTTCTAGACGCCATGGGCTTCGCAAATTAAACCCGTAACAATATTTTAAACAAACCAAAATTATAACAAGCACATCTAAAAGGAATGATATTCCCAACATGCTTTCATATTATTTTTTTCTTTCCGTGTACATTGAGTTTTGTAAATACCCTCTTTAGCGTCATCGATGTGCAATTAATAGCTTTTTGAAATACGCAAATTAATGTATAAATAATTAAACTTCTCAAGCTCTCAAAAATGAAGTTTTGTTTGCGGCTCTTGAGCACTGTCACCTTGACCACAGTGATTCTGCGACTGGAGATTGAGCTGGAAAATCTAAAATCGACAAACAAAACGTGAGTGGTCAACGTTGCCAGCACGTCTTGTATGACGTTTACGACATTTAGGTGTGAACGCGACGTCGCAGAAACGTCACTGACGGGGAAATAATGTAACGTCACCCTGGACCTTATTTTAACTTTGAAGACACGTGAGTGTGCGACGTTGCTAAAACGTCTTGTCTTGACGTCGTGGCGACGATGAGGACGTTAAAGTTGAAACGCGACGTCGCCAGCACGTCACGGACAGGACGATAATGGGACGTCATTTATGAACTTCAGTTCAACGTCAAAGAAACGTGAGCGTTGGACGTTGTGAGAACGTCGTGCATCGACGTCGTGGGAACGTTGACGACGTTTGAGTTGAAATACAACGTCGTCACAACGTCACTGATTGGACTCTAATAGAACGTTATATAAGGACGTCACCTCAACATCGAAAAAACGTGATCAAAGTCATGCGGGACGTCACCGACGTCCGGAACTTTTTCTCGACGTTTCCACGACGTTTTGTGCTGCCTGGGTAGGGCCCGTCGTGGTGTCATTTGTGACGGGAATGAACCAACCGTGAAATTTTATTACGTATCACGCACCGCTTAAATACATCTTTGGTGAAAATGGGATCTTTCTAAATGCAACCGCACGATTTCTAGGACTTGTTTTACAGCCAACTCCTATATTTATTCCATCGCATAATTCCCTTTGACGTACTGAGCCCAGGAAATAAGAAACGTTACACCTCAGTGAAACAAATTAACTAAGTCTTTAAAAAAATGTATTATTTGTGGGTTCTACAGGGTGATTCAAGGAGTGGCCAGGCTCTTTAAATCGACCGCAAAGTTCGGTTTCTTAGCCTATCGCGCTACGACTTTGTGCGGCGTTGCCCACAGATGGCGTTTTTTTTTTTTTTGTAAAATATTTTAAGATCGAACTTATCTGAGGAAAGAGTAAAGAAAGAAAAGGGCTTTGCTTCTATGGAAACGCAGCGAAACCTGCGGTCTTCAAACAACACGACGCCGTTTCGCACGGGAGACAAGAGATGGCGCAAGCGGTCGCGGCGCCAACTGCCGCCAACGAACGAGCGTACGACACCGAGAGCCGGCGTCTTTAGCAGACAAGGAACTGCAGTTCCTTGTTGTTACCGCGCCTGTTTTTGTTTCTGCGATTGTCGCCGCCTGCGGAACGCGCGCCGCTTTTGAGTCAAAAAGGTTGTCATGCTAAAGACG